CCAACCGCTCCTTGTTTTCTTTTCTTTTCTTTTTTTTTTTATTCTGGGCCAGCTTTAGCTCTGAGGCCTCGCTGCTGAAAACATCGATACAATGTTGCGGTCCGAGCCCGGCTGAATGGAAGCCGGTTTCTGGTGTTTTGTTTAGCTTCTTATTTGCAACATAGTACATAGTTGCTTAGAGTTGCAGCTGAGAGGCCGGCAAGTGAGGCGGGGAACGTTGGAGTCCGCAGCAAGCAAGCCTCATGCTCGCTTCAGTGCCTGGCTGCCGGCCGCCATCTTGGCTGACAGTTAATTTTCATATACTCACTGATTAGCCAATGAAAAGGGTAGCGGTCGTACGCTAATTACCATGTTTCTCTTTTATTAGTGTAGATTACAAAGAATGTAGTTATATCTACTGATCAGCAGTGAAATCCATGGTATGCACTTCAGTGTAAACAATACTGAAGAGTAGTGTGTGTAGAAAATGGGAGGGGGGAGGAAAAAAGCATATATGCATAGATGTTCAAAGAAAGGTATGGGAATATATACCAAACTGCTGTAACTGTGGGGGTGGGTAGGGTCAGTTGGGGGATTATTAATTTTTAAACTATATCTTGTTTGACTTGAATGTGTAGCTCTTTTGTTTGAAACAGAAGTAAGCCACATATGTTACATACAAATCACACATACATGACTTTTTAAGCTAAATTAAGCAAACGGCATCTCCTCACCACAGTTGTGAGCACTCGAGTTGTGCTTGGTGTCTTCTGGCTGTTCCTTCAGGAGCCAGGTGAATGGCTTCCTGTTCCTATTGTGGAAAAAATGACTACATTCCAGCTTTATTTTTGTTGTTATTGCATAAAAGCTGTTTTTAAGTATTTGCATTTCTTGTCCGTAGAAGTGACAGAACAGATCACCCAGGTGTGCTCAGGAAGAAATTAAATGAAAAAAACATTTCCTTTCCCAATGGAAAGAAACCAATTCTAAACTTGCTTTCTTCACCCTTGATAGGAGCCCAGCTCTGTCCTTTTTATGATTCACAAAGACTCCTGCCTCCACATCCTTAGTTGAAAAAATAAAGGAGCCATAAAAATACAGCTTTGACAGAGATGTGTTTCTACCAGATTTCTTAGGTTAAGAGTAAAAAGGGGAAGTGGTTTCTGTTTCTGAACTAGAAGAGTTCTAAGTGGAGGTTCTCCTAGCTGCCACTGTGGGTGGAGAGCTGCAGCCTGCTTGTGGCTCACTTACGCAGCCACACTGCTGTGCACTTCACCCACAAAGTTGGTTGTGTCCCTTGAGGAAGGAGGGATGGTGAGGCAGGCAGGAAAACAATACAAGCAATACACTTCCTCCTGTATATCTATGGGTCATAAAGCATTTCAAGTGTAGACTTCTTTTCTACTTGTAAGATCTAGCCTCTGGATCACTTTTTAAAAATAACAAACTCTTGTCCTAATCAGTGGTCGGCAAACTCATTAGTCAACAGAGCCAAATATCAACAGTACAACGATTGAAATTTCTTTTGAGAGCCAAATTTTTTAAACTTAAATTATATAGGTAGGTACATTGTGATCAACTTAATTAGAGTACTCCTAAGGCTTAGGAACAGCCACACTCAAGGGGCCAAAGAGCCGCACGTGGCTCTCGAGGCACAGTATGCCGACCACAGTCCTAGGTGGTTTGTTCAGTGGTTAGAGTGTTGGCCCATAGACTGAAGGGTCACAGGTTTGATTCTGGTCAAGGGCACATACCTTGGTTGCAGGCTCCATCCCCCAAGTCTGTCTCTGTCTCTTCCCCTCCCTTCCACTTTCTCTAAAAATTAATGGTAAAATATCATCAGGTGATGATTCAACAAAACACCTCTTGTATGTATACTGAAATTATGTATCATAATAAAATTGATTTCCATGATTCCACCATCAACCTAATTTGGAAAACATAGAATCCCTACCCACCTTGATCCCACATCTCTCCACCTATCCCAACCCCTGAAGGTAACCATTTTCCTGAAGTTTTTTTTTTCTTTTCTCACTCTCTGTTTTCCTTTATAATTTTATCACATACTGTGAATCCCTAAACAACATATTGGTTAGTTTTCCTTTAACTTTTAAAAGTCTCATAATATATGTAGTCTAATGTAACTATGTTTTAATTCTTTTGCAACCTTTCTTTTCATTGTACTGATTCAACTATCTTGTTTCCTCTAGTTCATTCATTTTTACTTTTGTGTTCCATTGTATAACTATACCACAGATTTACTTACTCATTCTCATGCTATTAGACATTTGGGTTATTTTCAATTATTCTCTGTGACATTGGCATTCAGATACACATTTCCTGGCTCTCATATGCAAAGGTTTCTCTGGATGTATACTTAGGAGTGGAATTATAGACGGAGCCTAAAAAAAAAATGGTAAATTGTTTTCAAAAGTGGTTGATCCCAATTCTGTTCCTGCCAGCAGGGTCTAAGAGTCCCCATATGGCACATCCCTGTCAACATGCATCCTCTTCAAATGGCCCCGCCCCCAGGTTTAAACCTCCTTTGTTGACATAAAAGTATTACTCTTGTGTTCAAATGCTTTAATTATTGTAAGCTAGTGGGTATAAAATGATGTCTTCTTGTGGTTTTTAATGTTTATTTCACCGATTACTTGTTTCTCTTCTAAGAAACACCTGTTCGTGTCTTTTGCCCATTAAAAAAAAAAGTTTCTTTTTTCCTTTTCTTAAACATTTGTAGTTCTGTTTCAAATTCCTTTTATATGTATTGCATATGTCTTCCAATTTGAAGCTTGTACTTTTCCTCTTTTGTTAGTATTTTTAAAATCAATTCTCAATTTTAATAAAACACGAGTCATGTTTTCTTTTAAGGTTATTGTGTTCTGTTTTGGTGACTTGTTTATGAAAACCTTCTCTACCTTGAACTCAAAATGGGTTCTCAGGTTCTACTCCAGACCTGCTGGGTCAGAAACTGTGGGTGGGGCCCAGAAAAATGTGCTTTCACAGGCCCTCCAGGTGACGCAGATGCACACTAATGTTTGAGAACCACTGGCTGTCAAGAGTCTTAACGTTTTAGCTTTGATATTTAAGTACTTAATTCATCTGGAATTAGCTTAGTGTATGATGTGATGTTGTGATCCAGCTTCTTTTTTTTTTTTCCATATGGGTAAGCTGTTTCCCCAGCACCATTTATTGAATTGTCCTTGTCCTTGCTACTTACCTGCAATGTTCATGTAGCCTTGTTAATGTAATGATAGCAAAAAAACTGGAAACAGGAACACGCATAAAGAACTGAATCAATTATGTTACATCCTCAAAATAGAATATTAGCCTTTATAAAGAATAAACTAGATAATCATGTGTTGCTATGAAAAGATATCCAAGAGCACAATATGCAAAACAAATATGCGTGCGCGTGTGCACACATGCACATGCGCGCGCACGTTTGTTTATAAAGGCACAGAAATTTTCTGGAAGGATGCTTTAGAACAGTGGTTCTCAACCTTCCTAATGCTGCGACCCTTTAATACAGCTCTTCATGTTGTGGTGACCCCCAACCATAAAATTATTTTCGTTGCTACTTCATAACTGTAATTTTGCTACTGTTATGAATCGTAATGTAAATATCTGATATGCAGGATGTATTTTCATTGTTACAAATTGAACATAATTAAAGCATAGTGATTAATCACAAAACTATATGTAATTATATATGTGTTTTCTGATGGTCTTAGGCGACCCCTGTGAAAGGGTCATTCGACCCCCAAAGGGGTCGCGACCCACAGGTTGAGAACCGCTGCTTTAGAAGATGATGTTAGATGTTACCTTGGATTAGTGGAACTGGAGTGGGAAAACTTACTTTTCATTTTATGTCCTTAGTTCTATATGAAATATTTTCTCATTTTGCACAGATTGCTTTTAAATAATAATGTTAAATTTCTATAGTTAAAACTTAAAATTAAATGATAACCATTGCACTTTTTGATGTTTAGCTTCTCCTAGGTTTTTTCGTCTTTCTGCTTCCTTGGGCTCCACTTTCTCTCCGAGCATTTCTCATGCCCCTACATGCTTATTCTGGACTTGTCATCTTTGGAACAGTGATTGCAACAGCCCTTATGGGAGTGACTGAGAAACTGATATTTGCCCTGTAAGTGACATAGTTTCCCTAATTGTATACTTAAGCTATAAATGGAAAATACTTATTCATTGGGAAAAGGTAATCAAATATAACAAAATTTTAAAAATACTAAAACATTAAAAATTTTAAATATTTATTCTTAAAAACATTTATTTTATAATACAATATAACATTGTATATAAGTACAGGTTATTATATTATACAATATAATACTACTAAATGCTTGAAGAAGGACCAAAAATCCAACAAGCTGTACTACTCTTTTTTTTAAAATATATTTTTTATTGATTTTTTTTTACAGAGAGGAAGGGAGAGGGATAGAGAGTTAGAAACATTGATGAGAAAGAAACATTGATCAGCTGCCTCCTGAATACCCCCTACTGGGGATGTGCCCGCAACCAAGGTACATGCCCTTGACTGGAATCGAACCTGGGACCCTTCAGTCCACAGGCCGACGCTCTTATCCATTGAGCCAAACTGGCTAGGGCAAGTTGTACTACTCTTAAAACAACTATTGAAATTATGCATGCCCTTACAATATTTTTGATGTGCATGTTTTTATTGATTGCAATTATGGTGTATGTACATTTTTGTATCATCCTTTTTTCATTTTTTAAGTGATACAGATGCTCCAGAAGCTATATTATTTTTATATTAATGTTTTTTTTAACAATATCATACTATTCCACTGAGTGAATGATAGCATAAATTTCCCCTTACTATCAAGCTTTAAGGGAATTGACACTGAAGCTGTACCAGTGTGCATTTTCAGCAGATAAATTCAAAACTCTTTGGCATGTTGCTGTCTCACTCTGTTTGTAAGTGGACTGACTCTAGCTCTCTCTTTTATTTTTTTGGTAGGAAAACACCCGGCTATGATACATTCCCACCAGAAGGTGTTTTTGCAAATACCCTGGGCCTTCTGATTCTGGTGTTTGGGGCCCTCGTGTTTTGGATAGTCACCAGACCACAGTGGAAACGTCCTAAAGAACCAGCTTCTCTCCGTCTTCAGCCAAACGGAGGCACTCCAGAGGGAGTGGAAGGCTCCATGGCAATCAACTTTGGCAACACGGACAAATCAGATTCAGAGTTAAACAATGAAGCAGCAGCCAGGAAAAGAAACGTTGCCCTTGACGAGAGTGGTCAGAAGTCCACCATGTAAGATGTAGAGGTGTAGACATGTAACTTTGCTTTTAAAAAACTAGCCCTGCAGTTTAGCGTCTCCTATTTAGCCATAAGATGATTGAGCTCCATAGAGTTTATATTGTTTTAATCATAAAGTAGGATTTCTTGAAAGAGTTGGTACTGAATGAGGCCTATGAACTTACCTGCATTGGAAAGGAGATGGTCAGTGTAAATCAGGGGTCCTCAAACTTTTTAAACAGGGGGCCAGTTCACTGTCCCTCAGACCATTGGAGGGCCGGACTATAGTTTTAAAAAAAAACTATGAACAAATTCCTATGCACACTGCACATATCTTATTTTGAAGTAAAAAAACAAAACGGGAACAAATACAATATTTGTATTTGCATGTGGCCCGCGGGCCGTAGTTTGAGGACCCCTGGAAATGATAGCACCTATAAACTGTGGTTCTGTTACCTCTTATTGAGGACCGAAGCATCCTGTGCCTTGCAGAACGCAGATGCTCACACTGCATCTGTCGGTTGGTAAATCTGATAAAGTGGCAGCCCCAGAAGTTCTTCCAAAACTCAACTTAGTCCCAAGGCTTCCCTGGGGTTTGGCATATTTTATGATCCAGATTCCAAACCCAATTAAATCAAGAATGTGCCTGAATTCTTAAGCAGCACCAACTGCTCTACAAACCTCACAGAGCACTTTTTCTCCAGTTTCTGTTTTTATTTTATTTTATTTTTTAAGTAGTTGCATGGCACTTACTGTGTGCCCGGTGCTATTCTAAGCACTTTATAGATATTAGCTCATTCGCTCTCCAGACAAACCTTATGAGGTAGGGACTATGATTATCTTCATTTTATAGATGAAAGATCTGAAGCTCGAACTGGTTAGTAACTTGCCCCAACGTCATAAGTGGTGGAACCAAGATTCAAAACCTGCCAGTCTGGCTCCTCAGTCCATGAGTCTCACCACTTCACTATGCCATTTTTTTTCTGTTTTATACTAATCTGCACCTGCTTTGACCCTCCCCTGAATAAATTTCTGTTGATGGAGTGCAGTGGCATGGTTAATGGTTACCTTCTGGCTCTTTTTGCCAAAATTCCTCAGATAACCAAGGAAAAGGGCCTGGAAATAGGTCTGGGTGCCCTTGCACAGCCAACAAGCCATGGTTTACCTTGATGCCTCTTTGTTCTTAAAATTGTGTCTTGATGACAGAGGAAGTTTGGGCAAGAACATCTGTAGCTTTCAAGATAATCAATTGAGATTTTTGTTCTTTATGATCTTAGCTGCTGGACAGTTTTCAGTTGGAAGATGGGAGAGAGAGACTTACCTCAGGGTCTGCCCTTTGTAGGGGCAGCAGCTGGGGTCCTTCCAGACTTGCCTGGAATTTTAGGGGATACCTTGAGCTTTGTGTTCTCAGTCGTGAATTGCGACTCAGAGGTGACAACTTTCATGCATGGAGACCTCTCGGGGCTGACTTAAACTAAAACCTAGAGCAGTGTCTATGCTGAAGTGATGGTTTTCATGTGCGGGTCGATTTTCGGTTTCCCTGCAATGTTAAACTGGAGCACTTTAAGACGGATAAAAACCTTACAGTTTTACAGCAAATACATTTGACTTTTTTAGTGCTTAGTGGATTTCCTCTTAGGATAACTGGTAATTACTTCTATAGATTGAATATTGAATACACTCCACCACATCCCTTAAGCTTCATGGATAGCCATTCAAAATCCCCTCTCTGAAACACTGTTTTCTTATGTAATTCTATTTCCAAAATTGGTAATAGTGTCAGTTTCATATCGGTAGAGCAGGCTACAATTTTTGTGCTAAGTAAGAGGAACTCCATTGTCACACAGAGACATGTGATAAATGGATACTTCATTACATGGAGCGGTACAGAATTCCAGGAGTTTTAGAGGGGAAGGGTCAGTGAGATCCTCAAAAGTTGAAACTGCCATTCCATTTTACACAGGCCAAGAAAGAGGTAATTAGTGAAAAGTTAATTATGGGTTTGGTACTAGAACATTCTGCTCCATTGCAAACTATTTGAGCACCCCTCATCTCAGCCCTTTCTTTTGTCTTTCTTTCTGGCTAATGTGAGGGTAATCTTACAGATATTATAGGAGCTTCTTTCCGTTCTTTCTCAGCCTCTATGAAAACAATGCATGGCAAAATATACCTAGAAAAACTTTCTCTTTGAGACTTTTTTTAATGGGCTTCCTATTCTAAAGATAATTGCACCTTTATCTTTCAAAAGCTAATATTTTCTACCTAAAGCATCTCGCCCAAAAATATCTCATTAAAAAGCCCACAAGAAAGAATAGGGGAGAAGAAAGCCTTAGGTATCAATTCCAAAACAGTGACTGAGATCCCCACAAACAATTATAGCTTCTGTCATCTGCAGAGGTGATCTGGCTTGGTTTACCCCATAATCTAATTTCAGGGGGGAAAGTTTTATTTTAACACTCATCTAAATCCACACTAACGCCTTTTCTCTTGAAGGGTTTATTGAGAAGCTCAAATGAATATGCATTTTGATTTAATGTTATCAAGTGTGCAGCTTCTTATGCTCCTTGTGTCAAACTGAGTCCACCTTCCAAGGGACTTTTCTTTCTTCTCTTTGTGTGGTTACATTTGAGCTGTGATGGTGAGAAACAGCATTGCAGGCCTTACAATCAAATGACAAAGGAGGCAATTGCACCTTTTAAGGGATACTGACAAGTGGTTTATGTTTTCTAAAGGACAAAGTAAAGAGGGTGTCTTGTTTTAATTAGGGTCTTTCCCAGCCGAGTTAGAAATTCCAGTGCAATACTGGTTGACCACAGCTGCCAAATCTAAACGCTCAAAGATGAAGTAGAGCTTTCTGCTAGTTTTATTGCAACATGATAGAATTTTTCTCTTGGAAAGTCCTTTTTTCAGGTTTACAACAGAAAACTGTAACTGCTATGTCTTAGAGCTACACATAGGAAAGTAGAGAAGAAAGAAAACTATTACTCTTTATTCCTATAAGGTACCTGGAAAAATATCTCTGTGTGTGAATTTGTCTTTCTATCTCAACACATTTATGGGAAAATATTAAATAACCTGAGTATTTTAAAATTTTGTAGAAAAAAATATGCACCTATTTTTTTCTTGACTTGGTTTTATATAGTAATAAAAGTTATTTTGGAATTTATTTGTCTGTGTTATCAATTCGTTTAGGCTAGTACGTGTAGGCATGGTTCTAAGTTTCTTTCCCATGGAAAATTTTGTAAAGTTTCTTTATTGAAAACGCTGTCAGATTTCTCTCTAAAGTGTACTCTGAGTGCCATACCTTTTGCATTCCTAGAAGGATTAGAAGCCTTGCAAAACTGGCGTGGTCTCCTCCACATGGGATCTTAACTGGAGCCATGCTCTGTGGTGTGAAAGGCAGCCTTAAATGTGAGCAACCCCAGCAGGCACAGTTCCAGTTGGTAAAGCTTGGAAGAATAACCTATTTAAAGTGCTGGTTATTACAAAACTCTGTTACTAGTTCCTTGTCCTCAAGAAAGTACATAATTAGTAATGAACACATTGCTGAGGTTTTTATTTTCTAAATAAGAAAGATCATTCACATCTAACTAGTGCCAATGCTCATCCGATCTTAATATCTCCTCTCATTTAGTCTTTTTTTCACCTACTTTTTGTCTTCTGGGAAATGTTAATGGTATTTCATGTAATAACACCATAATATATGTCCTATTATTCCTTAGAGCTAAAGTATTGTGAATGAATTGAATTCTAATGTTACACTAGAGGCCTGATGCACGAAATTTGTGCAAGAGTAAGCCTTTGCAGCCGCAGTGGCTGCCTTGATCCCTCCCTCACAGCCATGGTGGTGCCTCGATCCCTTGGCAGCAGCCCTGGCTTCATCTGGAAGGTGGTCCGGAAGGACGTCAGGTCTAATTAGCATATTATGCTTTCATTATTATAGATCCTATTTTGTCACTGATTTATATATTTAACCTCAGGGGCATGTATTTCATTTCAGATTGATCTTAATTGGAAAGTACTTTGGACACTTTATAAATATATGGCTCCAGTACATTACCATGTAATTTTACATGTATTAGCTCATTTAACTCCATTTTCAGTTGTACCAGTGCCCACTATGCCCTCACCCCTCTGAGGCAGCTGTGTTTTACTGACTCCATGTCACCTACATCTCTGCCACAATTGACTGAATAACCTGGGAGAGAACATGTCACCTGTATACAGCCTCACCATAGCTGGGGAGGTGGCCTGGCATGAAAAGAAGATGTCCTTCAATTTCATTTCAGACTGAGGAATTAGGATTTCAGAGGAATTTGATTCTCTCTCTTCTAGGAACTCGGACTGGGAAATACTTGAAGAATGAGGTAGTGAGAGCAGAAGCTAAACGAATGCCTAGAGACAGGAGCCATGAATCTAGACCAAGGATCAGGAAACTGTCTCTAAAAAGACATATTGGGCCCTAGCTGGTTTGGTTCAGTGGACAGAGCGTTGGACTGCAGACTGAAGGGTCCCAGGTTCGATTCCCGTCAAGGGCACGTGGTGCCTGGGTTGTGGGCTCCATCCTCAGTAGGGGGCATGCAGGAGACAACCAATCTATGATTCTCTCTGATCATTGATGTTTCTAGCTCTTTCTCCTTCTCCCTCTCTGAAATCAATAAAAACATATTTAAAAAAAATAAAAAGCCATATTGGTTTTGTGAACCACACTGTTTCTGTTGCAACCACTCAACACTGCCTTTGTAGCTAAAAGAGGCCACAGACAATAGTGAATGCATGAGTCTGGCTGTGTTCCAATAAAGCTGTATTTATAAAAGCAGTGGCAGGCCACCTTTGACTCACAGGACCACGTTTGCCAGTGCCTCGACTTGACTATGAGGTTTGACCATGATGCTTCATGGCAGGCTGAGAGGATGAAAAATCAAGAACTATGTGGTAAAGAGGAAATACTGATGGTAGAGAGGAAGAACTAGTCATTAATGATAGGAAGCACACATGAACAGTGTAGCGGGGGA